TACAGAAATAATGAAGTTGAGAGTGGTGTTGGCAATAAATACTTTGAGTCACTCTTTCTATCAAGAGGCAGCTAACTCTACTCCAACTCATCTCTTCAAACTGTCTAGATTCACCCATATATGTAGGACATCGGTCGTCAATCTTTCTTGGTATAACTCAAAACGTTTTTATAGAACTTTAGTCCCATCAAAGTCAATTTTGTATCCCATTTCTATGGAGTGTAGCATAATGGTTGATTTGTTTTCTAGTTTCTTAACCTCTACCATACAATAAGAGATATACAATCTCAAACTGAATAATTAGTTATCATAATTTACAAAGACAATGACTACACGAAGAGGATTCAACATGGAGATTTGGATTCATTTGCATATATCCTTGATGCTTCAATTTTGGATTATTTCTCTGAAGAGAAGTTCACAGTAGACTTCTGTGCAGAACAGCGTTGGAATTATTTGATTTCAAACCCACTGTGACTTACACAAATAAAATCCACATCTAATATCAACAACAATTTACTCAGTGCCCAATATTTGACATACTATACGATCAAATCTTGATCATAGTTAATAGAAATCTAATTATTCGTTATTAGTGACGCAAACCATGAGGAACGAGAAGACTGGCATAAGCTGACTGGAACGATGAAAAGACTCTAGTAGATTTAAAATTCGCCGATTATTTGTGTCCCATGCCGCACAAACTAGAAGATCTACAGACGAAAAACTAACAAGTTGACAAAAGTGGTAGCGAAAATAGGACATCGAGTGAATGTAGAGAAGACAGAGGTGATGAGGATATCCAACCAACGACAGCATCAACAACAAGCACCAATCACCATCAACGGGAGAAACTTAAAGGAAGTAGCCTCTTTCACCTATCTAGACAGCACTGTTGCAACTACAGGTGGTGGCACAGATGAGGACGTTAAAGTCAGGATCGGAGAGGCAAAACAGGCGTTCATTAGCCTGAAACCAGTGTGGAGATCTTGTGCACTCAGCATGAAGCATGAACAAGATCCGGATTTTCAACGCCAATGTCAAATCAGTGCTGCTATATGGTTCAGAAACTTTGCGCGTCACAAAAAGCACTTGCAACAAATACTACGGACATAGATCACATCAACAGCTGCCTACGCTAGCTTGATACTGAAGATCAGATGGCCAGAATAATGAGAATAAGCAATGAGGGGCTCATTGTGGCTGGTGACGAGCCAACCAACAACCTATCACCTAACAAATATACAGAAGAAAGTGGAGATGGATTGGATATATACTGAGAAGACGGTTTGGTGATATCACGCGCCAGGCCAGGTATTCGAGTGGAATCCAAAAGGAAAAGGACAAGTTAGTCGTCTAAGCTGAGGGTGATATGGAGGAGATGATGTGAGGAAGAAATGAAAGGTTGCGGGCAGTGGTGGAGCGAGGTTAAAAAGACTGCAGAGAAGAGAGTGTAATGTAGGCGTGCTACTGAATTGGTATGTTCCACTAGGAGCCCAAGGGAAAAAAATAATAGTAGTTTCAATGACAAATTTCTATCTCAACGCTTGTAAAGCAGATGCCTCGATACTGCTTGTAATCTCAGTTTGATAATATTATTTTTAATAAAAAGAACGCTTCGGTTCAGTTGGGATTTGTCAGCTGGATGTACATGCTTTCAAGTGGGTGATGTTGTCCCCATTAAAAAATCAGACCCCAAATCACTAGCTTCAAATGCCAGACAATTATCCATCAGACCGCTGAATCATAAACTGATTTGTACAATACAAGAATAAAGACATTTGTGAATTAAAATCAGCCCATTTAACTTCACAGTTTTCATCAGTTGGATATTGCTTCACCTATGCTTGTGGAAGCAAGTAGATATGATAAACCAAAAGAACAGCATCTACTCGACCTTATCAGCATATTCCGGTAAATCTGAATCCAAAAGGTAGCAAAGACTTTACAAGCCCAAATGTAAAGCATCTGATAGAAACATGACATCAACTAGGTGCTTCTCAATTCTTCAGGATAATCAGTTAATAAAGTAATCAGTGTTTACGTCTGGTTTTCAACCTGACCAATGTACTCAGAAAGAGATCGTAATTAACCTTTCTTTACCTTGGTAATTGTATATAATTTTTCCATGTGTATATACATAGTCTTCTCTTTTCATTTGATTACACCACTTCTTCATTAATTACTGAACCTAGGACGTTCAGATTCCACGGTCAGCACGTTACCACTGAGCCACTGAGTCAGAATTCAATGGTCCATATTTCCATCTGGGTTTGATCCTTGGTTTGGCGGGTTCATGGGTCCATACTGCTGAGGAGTCCCATACTGCTGAGATGAAACAACTGTCCAGTACTCCCAGGTTTCTAATCCTCCTCCAATTGATGTCAGTCTATGATGAATACCAACTTCAAATTAACTTTATGACTTTTCAGTTGTAGGCTCTGTTTGCAGCTGATGAAAGGCCAAGAAATAAAATAAGCCCATTTTATCCTACAACTGTCCTGGTTATTGAATTGTTCAAAACTGTTAAAGGGGAATAAATGTATGAAATCTGTTTGCATTTTATTTTATGCACTAAACAGACTAGTGAATCTTATCCATATTATTATTATCATTCTGTCTCTCGGGTTCTTAGTGGAACATAGGATATGTCGCCATAGCACGTCACGGTTTCACTCTCTTCTCTGCAGTCTTTTCAACCTGGCTCCACTACTGTCCAGAAGCTTTCATTTCTTCATAACACGATCTCCTCCATGTCACCCTCACCTCGGACGCCCAATTCATTGTTTCCCCTTTGGGTTCCACTCGACGGCCTGGCCTGGCCCTGACTTGACGTTAGTGTTGAAAATCCTGAACTTACTCACGCTTACGCTGGGTGGAGTGGAGTACAGTGGAGTGTAGTGCAGTACAGTAGATCTCCACACTGATTTCAGATTGATGAAATAAGACCTGTCTTGCTGTCTTTCCGATCCTGGCTTGACATCCTCATCTGTGCATGTGACGCCCGTAGTAGAAACTATGCTGCCTGAGTAGAGAGGTAGGTGTAGGAGACAATGACGTTTAGTTTCCTATCTCCCGCCGATGGTGACTGCTACTTCTTGTTGTTGTCACCGGTTGTTGATTGGACATCTTCATCACCTCTGTCTTCTCCACCTACACCTGAAAAAGAAGTCTTGTCTTCGCAACCTCTTCTGCCAACTTGTTAGTTTTCGCCTGTAGATCTCCGAGTTTGTGCGACATAAGATACTAGACATAAATCATCATTGGCGAAATCCAAATCTTATTCCGGTGTCTTTTCATCGGTCCAACCAGCGTATGTCCCTCTTTTCCCTCCTCTCAGTTGTACGTTGTATGATTCACTACAGTCCAGTCCAGTCCAATCCAGTCAACCACAATCAGGAAGATCATGGGTGATAGTAGGCGGCAACACTGTCTTACTTCTTCCTTCCTTCCTTCTTGTCCTCACTTCAAAGGCATCACTGAGCTTTCCGTTGTCAATCACTTGGTATGTAGCCTCCTCATATAGCATAGTATATAGCTGTTGAATGAAGTGGATAAATGTTTGTGTCAGTGAAACTGTAGTGTTGAAGCAGTTTACAAATTACTTCTTGGTCGAAGTTGCTAAAGGCCTTTTCAAAGTGGATGAAGTTGAGATAGAGAGTTGACTGCCATCCTATACTCTGTTCTATGATGATGGGTAGCGTGACGTGGCAATGTGATTTGATCAGCACATGATTTATTTTACCTGAAGACTGTCAGTCAGCCTGTTGCGGTGGTGATTTTGAATGCAGAGCATTTTTTTAGTCCCTCCCGGATGATGCCGCTTAATATATTGCTTGATGTGGTCAGGAGTATGTTTCAGCGCGAGTTCTTTCAAAGACTTAGGTCACCCCCTAGTTTGGGAGTTTGACAAGTTAGCCCTTCTTCCAATCAGTGTGCAGGTACCTTTCCTTCCTTACTTGCAAACCTTCCACAATAATGGTGTGAGCATGTTCACTGCTGTCTCTGCATCTGTTTTTAGTGCAACTGGAGGAATTCTATCTGGTCCTACTTCTTTCCATATTAGTAAGTGGAATATTTTAAAAAGCACTTAACATAGGAGGCTAAATTTCGATGACGTGTAGTGGGAGGCGATTGAGCTAGTGAGTAGGGCCTGATTTCATTTGAAAGTAGATATGTGAACCGTTAAATGTGCTGGTAACCAGTATGTAGACTGTCTGATATAAAGACTGAGTTAATTCTTCAAAATTTTTCTTATAAAACGCCATTAAGTCATTTGAGAGAATCAAGAGTACAGCATTTCAACAACTCAAACCATCATTATGAGTTCAAAAGAAGCATATACGATTTTCATCCAACTCTTGATTCTTATAATTTTGTGGATCCCAACCAGGTGGTCTACATCACCTTTGACGATTCAGGTCATTAATCAGAGTTTTCATGGACTTGTATCATGTCTTAGTCTGGTCACTTTTAGACTTCTTTTCGCTAATACTTCAAGTATAGAAAGGTGGTAAAATCAGAGTGCGCAACAGATGTTTCACAACCTAATTGACTGAATTCCCTTCCTTGCATAGTACTCGCAACCTAACCTTGTTATTGTCCACATAAAGATTCCATCACATGCCAGCAGTACTTCGACGAAACGTATAGTCGAAAATCACTGATCTAATCTCATTAAAGTTGTTTTATTTATATATATCACACACACAATCATATTAAAGTGGTCTAAGTTTCATAACTTAACTGTTTTGTATCTTCTGGTTTAATAACTGGTGAAAATTTCCATAAATCCAGAATTATAATTTTGACTATTTAAGATAGCCGTGATTTGACAGATGAGTGTTCATACTGAATGATAACTGAAGGTGAAATGGTAATTCAGACCGTGAGGAGGGGGAGGTATTCAAAACAGCAACCACCAGGTTTCCAGCCCGATGATCTACCAAGTAAGCTACGACGTTCATCTGCTAACCAGCTTTTTATTTCACTTCAATAAC